TAAGAAAGAGTAATCTGGGCCTTACCGTGGTGTTATCAACGGTGCGAACCATGAGTGGTTTGTTCTTATTTGAAGAAGCTGGATTGGGATCCCAAAGAACTTTGCCATGCCACAACGAATGAGAGACATGCTTGCAAGATTTAAGGATACTATTGGGCTTTCTGTCCTAAGGAGAAGATCAATACGATGAAATGTTCCAAGCGAGAAGACGGGTTCTTGTATAAGTATAAACGGTAGGGATATAGGGTAAATTAATCTTATATAAAAAACTTTTATTACTACAACTACCTTTCTGAGATTCGCATTGCACCTCGTACGTCATTCAATGTCAGTCATTGAAAAAAGATCAAGCGTCCAATAAAATCACAGGCGACCCCGAAAAATTAGGAGCCAACTTTTAAAATGTGAAGAACGCAAGGCGACTTTCATGTGCATGTACATGCGTTGACTGTATCCCGTCAATACAATACTAGTCGAATACGTAGACTTCTACAGGGCCTTCTAAGTAATGCGCGCCGGGTATAATTCAAACCTCTGCCCCCATCGGTACCATTACCCCTAAAGCAAATCGTCTCCAGGAGACGAAATAAAGCATTGCCCGTTTCCTTATTCGCGTTTCCCTTTTTCTGTTTTCGATTTTTCAGTCTAGCTAGCTAGTCTAGCTAGCTAGAGTTGGTACAGCACCAGTCATCACGTCACTTTTTGGCCATGCAAAACTGCTGGTGTCAGAGGTCAGAGTGGTTTAGGGATTGCTTCGGAGGAATATCAGCTGCGAGGATTGCTTTCTAAAGAAAGGAGCAGTCTCTCACAATCTGCAGAATCTTCTTTCGCATACCGGTATCGTTGGTCATCAGGATCTTTAGCTTCTAAAGCGCTAACAACGTACCATCTTGATGATGAACAAGTTCTTCCTCGCCGCCGCCCTCGGGGCCTTCGTGTCCCGAATGGCATTTGGTCAGGATCTCACCCTTCCTCCCGATCTCACCCAAAATCCTGCTGCGCCTGACGAAGGAGAAAGTATGGGAGAAGCAAGCATGGGAGAAGCAAGCATGGGAGAAGCAAGCATGGGAGAAGAAATGATGGAATACGGTCTGAATGAGACTCTTTGCGGGAACATGACGGAATTCAACATGACTTTCTACAACGAGACTGGTCTCAACTGTAGCAGCAACGAAGAAATCATCGTCGATGACCGTACCGATGTCCCCGAGGTGCTCACTGATGCTCCTACAAGGGCACCCATCACTGCTAGTCCAACTACGGCATCACCTACGGCTACTCCCGGCAACCCAACTGGAACTCCAACCAGGAACCCCACTCGCAGACCAACTCGCCGTCCGACAAATCGTCCCACTAGGAATCCCACGCGATTTCCTACCGAGGCGCCGTTCTTCACTTTTTCTCCGACCTTTCCGCGTCCCCCCTCATTCACGTTATTTCCTACTTTGTTCCCTGCTGGACCTCCCATAACACCCCCCATTGCCCCACCAGTTAACCAAAACCGTAAGTTGCCATCGTTGAATTATTGTAGTATTACCGACGTCTTGTCGCTTGTCACTGACGCCATGGTCGTCTTCTCTAGCAACGCTCTTCCCAATCAGCAGTCCGATTGCTCCCCCAATTCAACCACCCAATTTTTCACCACCCACTTCCCCCATTGCTATACCAATTGCTGCTCCAGTGGCTGCCCCGGTTGCTGCCCCAGTTGCTGCCCCAGTTGCTGCCCCAGTCGCTGCACCAGAGGCTCAACCTTTTGTTGCCCCCTCAAGGCGCTACTATGGACGTGACCGTGAACTGTTGCGAAAGGAACATTCTGGATGTACCCTTTGTCCCAAGGGACGCACTGTGGGTGCTCCTCAGAAGCTTGTCAAGGGACCGTTGGGACAGGATATGACATGTATTGAACTGGCTGTCCTTTACGAATTCTATGAGACAGGTGATGAATGTACTGAATTGAAACACGATTTGAAGAATGCCAATAAGTATTCGCCAGCCAAGCACTGTGAATGCCCCGCAGTCGAATAAACAAGAGAGCAAAGGAAGACCAAAGGCAATGTATGAGTAGTGTTTTGTGATGTCCAAGCTTCGAAGCAAGAAGCGTGTTGCAGTTTGGGATTTGTTGGGACTGTAGTCAAATTCTTTTAGTGTTTAAAAGTAAAGCCAATAAGTTAAGTGTAAGCCCAACATGGTGTCCACCCAGCTGGGCTAGCAGTTGAGCCCTACTAGGTGCTGCCACAGCAACGAGCTCTGACGGCAGTGGCGGTGGCCGTGCCAAGTGCTGCACGGGTGGCCGTACCAGTTGCTGTTCCAGTGGCTGTGCCAATTGCTGCACCGGTGGCCGTACCAGTTGCTGTTCCAGAGGCTGTGCCATGCAGTTCTTGCTGCCACACTATGGCATCACCCATGGCTACTCCTGGCAACCCAACTGGAACTACAACCAGGAACCCCACACGCAGACCAACAAGGAACCCCCAAGGAGGCCTACCGCAAGGCCAACTCGCCGTCCGACAAACCGTCCCACTAGGAGACCCACACGGTTTCCTACCGAGGCCCCGTTCTTCACTTTTTCTCCGACCTTTCCGCTTCCGCCCTCATTGACGTTGTTTCCTAGTTTGTTCCCTGCTGGACCTCCCATAGGACCCCCCATTGCCCCACCAGTTAACCAAAACCGTAAGTTGCCGTCATTGAAGTATTGTAGTATTGCCGACGTCTTGTCGCTTGTCACTGACGCCATGGTTGTCTTCTCTAGCAACGCTCTTCCCAATCAGCAGTCCGATTGCCTCCCCAATTTTTCACCACCCACTTCCCCCATTGCTATACCAATTTCTGCTCCAGTGGCTGCCCCGGTTGCTGCCCCGGTTGCTGCCCCAGTTGCTGCCCCAGTTGCCGCCCTGGTTGCTGTCACACGCTACTATGGACGTGATCGTGAACTGTTGTGAAAGGGATGTACCCTTTGTCCCAAGGTACGCACTGTGGGTGCTCCTCAGAAGCTTGTGAAGGGACCATTGGGACAGGACAGGACATTAAACTGGCCGTCCTTTACGAATTCTATGAGACAGGTGATGAATGTGCTGCATTGAAACGCGATTTGAAGAATGCCAATAAGCATTCGCCATCCAAGCACTGTGAATGCCCCGCAGTCGAATAAAGAAGAGACCAAAGGAAGACCAAAGGAAGACCAAATGCGGTGTATGAGTAGTGTTTTGTGATGTCCAAGTTTCCAAGAGAGAAACGTGTTGCAGTTTTGGGATTTGTTAGTACTGTAGTCAAACTCTTTAAAAGCCAAAGAAGTTAAGTGTAAGCCCAACCTGGAGTCCACCCAGCTATGCTACTAGGTTGAGCCCCTAGTGCTGCCACAGCAATGACCTAGTAGGCAAGTGGTATATCAGAGTGAGCGCAATTCTATGGTGCAGTGGAATGTGAACGTGAGTTTTGGGTGGACCGAGTCACTCAATAGGCTGCTGAGCCAAGAGGAAAGTTTTCAAAGTACTGCTGATAGGTCATGTGGGGGCTGGGACACATGTGGGAATGTATTGGTTGAACGAAGGTGTACAGTACAGCAACCTTAAAAAGGTGAGGGCAAAGGTGAGCAGGGTTTCCTAGTCCTTGCCAGCTCCGGCAGGTTAGGTGGAACATGAAATTTCCGCTGGAGACCAAGCGTTTCTGTCAATCTCTACGGTACTGCTGGGTGTTGGTCACCCAGCTCCATCATACTACTTCTCCATGGTGAAAGAGACATTCTTCCTCTGCTTCTGGGAGGTGACACAGACATTCTCCTTTGTTGCGCTGACGCTGGGTGACCAACACCCAGCTCCATCATACTACTTCTCCGTGGTGAAAGAGACTTTCTTCCTCTGCATCTGGGAGGCAACACAGACTTTCTCCTTTGTTGTGCCGACGACTCCGCATTCCTTGTCTCGTCACCACAATGTAAATTGCCTGTGTCGCGCGGTGAAGGGGACGCAGATGATCCTTTGTGATTGTCACAATTATGATGGCGACGACTGGATTGGTAGTCGTTTTCAAAGGACTCATGATCCTCTCCGTCTTGGCGGTTTGCCCTCTGTCCCCCCCCTGAGCTTTCACTAGGGTCATGATCTCGCAACGTGGCCACAGACATTCGCCTGCGACGGTCTAGATGACTTGATTGTTTTGTTTCTTGCTGTGAATCCTCGTGGTCACCTTTGTTCTGATGTGGACTACCGTTTCTTGCAAGTGGACTAATAGCACGATGTCTGGGTGGCGAAATGGACATGCGTCGTTGATGTTCTTGACTAGAGCGGTTGCTTTTCATCTTTTGGTCTCGGTCCTGAGATTCTTTGTCATCATCGTTACTTGAATTGACCAATGCAGGGGTCCTTTCCGTGGACGCATGTTCCTTCATATCAACCTGGTCCCCTTTGTGGTGGTGCGAACGGTGCTCTCTCCTAGAACGTCCGCTTGTTTCTTGTCCGTGATGATGGTGATTAGACCTTTCTTCCTTATGCTCTTGTGGCGAGTTTTCACGGCTATGACGACTCCTGCTTTTTGAAGACGGGTCACCGCGCTCGTCACTTTGCTGTGTTCTCCGATGGTGACTACTAGTAGACTTGTCGTCGTCGCGGCGATGGCGACTAGACTTTTCTTCTTCTCCGAGATCCCGACGATGTGTTGATCGTCTGCTTCTCCCATCGCCCCGACTAGGCCTGTCCTCTTGGTCCTTGCCATCCTGTGGTGATTTGCGGTTGTGAGGACTAGGGGTAGTAGAATTTTCCCCAAGGTGACGGCGACTTGACGACTTTTCCTCGCTGCGGGGCGGTGATCTTCCCTGATGGCTGGACTTGGGATCAAGGTGATCACTGCTATCTTCTTTGTTTTGTTCTTTGTTGTGCCGCGATGACCTATCATCTTTATGGTGGCTGCTAGCAGGCTTGCCCTCACTGTGGGGTGGTGATCTTCCCTCATGGCTCGACTTGCGATCATGGTGGCCACTGGATTTTTCAATTACTGGTTCTCTGTGGCGCCGTGGTGACCTGCCATCGTCATGACGACTTGACGATTTTTCCTCGCTCCAGGGTGGTGATCTTCCCCGATGGCTTGACTTGCGATCATTGGAATCACTGGACTTTGCTTTGTCTTTCTCTCTGTGGTGCCGTGATGACCTGTAATCATCATCATGGTGACTGCTGGTTGGCTTTTCCTCACTCGAGGGTGGTGATCTTCCCTGAGGGCTTCTTGGCTTGCGATCAATGTGATCGGTGGACTTTTCCTTGTCTTTTTGTCTGTGGTGGTGCTGTGATGAGTTATCATAGTGGTCCCTCGACTTCTCTCTGCTTCGTTGATTGTAGTGCCGCGATGACCTGTCGTCTTTGTGGTGAGAAGACTTTTCCATGTGATCTCGACGGTGCGACGTCCTCTCGCCGTGTTGTGGACTCTTTGTCTCCCGACGTTCCTTTGTTTTGTCATAGGAATGATGATGCTTGTTGTCGGCATGATTATAATGATCGTCTCGATGGCGCCTGCTCCGATTTTCGGGACTGTGGGACCGTGATACTCGCTTTTGCAGACGGCGATGAGGATGATGACGATGTTTTCGCCCTCGAGGAGACAGGGACCGCGTTTCCCGTGCGTGCACCGATGTGCTCAGACTGCGCTCCGGTTCCGGACTGGGGCTTTTGTAGTTTTGCTTGTCTTTGGAGATTGCCTTTTGCAGACGTCGCTTCATTTTTTCATAGTCTGGTTTGTCTTGCGATGTCTCTGTTGTTTCGGGTATTCGAGCAAGTCTGGTTCTGCCTCTGTTATGATTATTGTCGTCCTTGTTACGCCTATCAGTTTGCGGATTGGATTGAATGTTTGTTGTCGCACTTTTTTCGGTCTGTGCGTGGAGACGCATGGCTTGGGCCATTTGGAGTTGAAACCTGTCATTGCTTGACATTTCTTCTCGGTGATTGTTGCTGTTTTCTTGTGGTGCTTGCTCTGTAGTAGATTGCTGTTTCTGTCGTTTCTGTAGTATCAAATCCCGCTGTGCTCGATAGGATCCCTCCATTCCAGATTGTCCACCCATAACCTTGACATCTTTGAGTTTGGAATTTCTGCTGCAAACGTCGACGAATTCCGTGGTTGTGAAATCGATATTGTGGATCCGCAAGGTGGTCAAGTTTTTGGCTCGTTCCACCATGGCGACGACAGCAGCGAGTATCTTGTCATTGCCTCTGGCATTTCTGGGAAAATCCACCTGTACCATGGTCAGTCGTTGTAGCATTCCAATTTGAATGAATAGTTCGTGTATTTGTGTCGGATCCAGCAGCTTGAGAAAGCCATCCGTGACAATGACAGCCCATACGGTAGCATCGGCGGTAAAGGCATCAATCACCAAATTCCACAGATCCACACTGGTATCCAACACCAATAGCTCTAGCTCTTTTTCTTTCTCTTCTTGCGGGGGCTGGTTGCTATTATTATCATTGTCATTCTTGTCATCCTGTTGCCAAAAGTTCATACTCTTTCCTGGTTGTGCAGGTGGTATGTCGCTCCGCAAAACCTGTCAACATGCAACAGCAAACATGCTGTGACATGTTCCGGTATCGGATGCAGAATGCAAGCAGAAGCACGCTGCTGGTTCGAAGGCTCAACGCGTAGCGGAAGATTTCCATTGTCTGTTGTCATGCAGCTGATGACGTCAGTATCCCAGTCAGAAGTTAACCCTAATATTAACGAGTCCCGGCTAAGGCTCGGAGCAAAATTTTTCGTGAGAATCGAATCTCAGAAGGAAAATGCCAAATCGGAGGACATCCTCATTTTCAATTGAAAGCAAGGCTGTAACCAGCATTGATTCAATCTTGTTGCGCTGCCAAGTAAAGAGCACCCATCGGAAAGACCCAAGGCCAACAGAATAGAAAGCAAACAATACTGTACGATCATTTAGTGTAGTTGATAATAAACAACAATCAGCAAGTCGACAATGACAGTTGGCACTAAAAAGCCGTCTAACCACGATAGTCCTCCACCCTTTCTCCCTCTGGAAGAAGTGTACGAGCCGGAGAACAGCAGTCTGTTGCTCCTCGATGAAGTGGATAATAACAACAATTTGAAGGGTCACAAGCGCAGCAAACGGGAAAAAGACGTCGACAATACCACGGATAATATCAAACGAGCCGTGGGTATCTTGATTGCGCTGCTCGTCTTGTTTCTCCTCTACGATGCCATTTTTCGACCACCCGAAAAGCGATTCATCAAACCCGATGCCAGCGATCGATTCTTGCGATGGGTACAGCATCATCCCGTACGAGGAATTGTCGCATTCATGCTGGTCATTGCCATGGCAGTGGTTCTCCTCTTGCCCGTAGGGACACCCCTCACCATTGGATGTGGCTTTGTCTACAAATCGGCATACGGATGGAAACTAGGAGTCTTTATTGCCACCATGGTGTCCATGCTGGGATCAGGGGCTGGGGCCGTCGCATGCTTCTTGTTGGGAAGATATTTACTCAGAGATCACGTACGAACCTGGATTGTCAAATATCCACTCTTTGTCGCCATTGATATTGGTAAGTGCCGTACTGCTTGCATTGAATTGTTGGATTATACCCCCGCGTTATTGGCGTGGATACCCCTTGTGTCTTATCTATCTGTTGACTCGACCTATTTTATTACGACTTGATTACACAACAACAACCACCACAGCCGCTGCAGAACATGGTCTCAAGATTCTAGCCATGCTCTACTTGACACCCATTGCTCCGTTGGGACCACTCAGTTACGTGTCCGGGACAACATCCATGGCACTCTCCCATTTTGCACTCGCAAAGGTCGCATCCCTGCCCATTTTGACGCTCTACGTTTTCATTGGGGCATCGGCTGGAGCACTCGTGGCCGCTTCCGCCAGTCGAGATGCCGGACATTTGGAAGAAAATGCACAAAAATTGGAAGAGAATCCTACCCTCATTCTATTTGGCATTATTATCAGTGTCGTCATGATTTCCACCATTTCTGTCTACATTAAAAAGGAACTGTTCAAGGTACGAACATGTATATTACAACAAAAGCAACAACAAACTGCAATCGATACAATCAGGATATCATCATCTCTCTCACACTTGACTTATTTGCTTACTCACTTACTTGCTTGCTTGGGTTCCAGATTTTGGAACGGGAAAAGAGAAAAGTCAAAATACTACCCACCACGTCATCGTTCGAGTCCGACTCGGATATAGATGAGGACATGGTTACCGATGAGATATTTGATATTGACATTGGTACCATGTCACCAGGATCCAGCAAGCCGATTCGTCAGCGAGTGGTTTCGACGGACAGTCGACAACATCAGGATATGAATCCACCATTACAGCATGCATAGCGGGGGAACTTTTCAAATTTCAGGGAGGTGACGACGACGTCTGTTGGATGGAGTCTTTTCCCCTTCGGAATCAATCTATATTCTATTTGACGACAATCCATTGGCAGACTGATGTTCTGACCGTGTCCTATTATTGTATACTAACACTCATTCAATCAATCAATCAATCATACACACGCTGCCTCGAGTGTGCTGCCTGCACCACAAAGTGTGCCTATCCCATTCGAAGTTTTAAAATATTATCGTGGAGAAGGCGCCAGACGCACAGCTTTTAGAAAAAGGAACGAAGAACCTTCTTTGGTTTAGGTTGTAGACCAATATGGAATGATGAATGATTCGAAACAAACCCCAACGGGGACGACCGAACACGAAGTAGAAATTCATAGAAACGCATTTGATCACTTGAAGGAGCTAACTGGGAGCTACCGTATACCGGTACTGGAGGAGCTAGGAAGGGTTATCGAAAAGCCACACTTACTAGCCAGACCAATCTCAAGACCTCGACACCTGGGCTACTCCACCAATCACGCCTGGAACAAACACTAATGATGAGCTCACCCTGCTAGCTAGATAGGCTCAGCCCTGTCTCCTGACCAACTCGATGACCAATAAATCCGGAGGGAGGCGGCGCCAGTTTCCAGGTTTCTAATAATCATGGGCTCTGGACCGTTCGACGGTTTTCGCTCAGGTTTTAAAAAAACTCAAAATTTTGCAGTTGAACCATCCCCATAAACATTCCCTTAAAACATTCCCTTAAATCCTTAACATTGCCTTAAATCAACATTCCCCTAACAACATTCCCTTAACGCTTCGAAACATTCCTCTAAGCCTTCATGTAAACCCCATAGAACATTCCCTTAAAAAAATAAACATTCCCTTAAATAATCATTCCCTTAAAACATTCCCCTAAATCCTCAACATTCCCTTAAAGCTTCAACATTCCCTTAACCAGAACCACGATTTGAGCAGTTTTTAAACCTGAGCAAAAACCGTCGGACGGTCCTGGACCAGCTGAAGATTTAGTGATAAATATTCAACTTCAAAAAAAGCTACCTACCTTCTACCCTTTTTACTCGTACCGGTAGTAGAACTACATGAAGAGCACCGTTGGCATTCTGCTGTCTGATTGGTGGTCACTTCAATCCCAGGGAAGCAGTTTCATGCCACCACGAATCTTTTCTCTTCCAACCAACGGTCAATGGAGGCGATGCAACCAAGGTTCCAAGAAGACTTACAGAACTTGACCTTGAACATCACACACCAAGCTAGCTAGCTGTGAGAGGAGATTGAAAAAGTCTTTGGCTGGGTTAAGATAGGATACCCTTACTCGGTAGGCGTTGAGTAGGTTGTCCGCGAACCGCAAAAGAAGGCAAAGCACCCGTGGCAGCAGATGGAAGAAATGGAGGTATCAGTGGAAATGGAGGTATCAGTTGAAGATAGCAGCAGCAGTGGCGCTAATGGCGAGACGGAATGTTCCGTCATTGCAGAGGCCACTGGAGAAGAAACTGAACATCCCAGGACGAAGTCAGTGAGGCGAAGGACTCACTTGGATATAGTTCCACTGAAAGTGATACAAGAAGATGGAGATGAATCGCAGATGTTTGCAAACGATTCAGAAGACGAAGACTCAGACGAGAGCTCTTACGGTCGAAAAGACGATGAGCTGGAATCTTCTTACAACGAGATACCGCTACCACGACAGCAATCAGCTTTAGGAGCTTCTATGATGAGAAGGGACCGTCGACGCTCAGCCTTTACGTTGATGCACAATGCCTTTGGAGCCAGCGTCATTCGGATACAAAATGAAATGGACATGGTCCGTGGGAAGTTATCTGATTCTTATCAAAAGGAAGGGAAAGCTGTCTTGCTTCATGGGTATCTACACATTCAAATTATTAGAGCCCGAAACCTACGAAATGCCGACTGTTTCCGTGGTTTTCACACACTTTTTCAGTGCCTTACCAACGATGTATCTGATCCTTATGTGACGGTCCATGCAGGGGCGCACAGGCTGCTCAAAACAAGGCAAATTGAAAATGATCTTAATCCAGAATGGAACGAAGATTTCTTCATTCCGGTTTGTCATCCCATTGCAGACATTGAATTTCGGGTCAAAGATAGAGATGCAATGTCAGGCGAATTGCTTGGCAAGTCCTTCTTGTCAGTTCATGAGCTGATTCGATTTGCTGATGAAGACCCTGATCACATTGATTTCAGTGCCATGTTAGGGAGTGAATTGATGGAACCTACCGAGTCACAGGCAGACAATGCCAACAGCATGGGCGGGGCTTCCAGCGGAAGAAACCTGCTTTCTTTGCTCGGCGGTTCCGGCAAGGAGGCTTCCAGCAGGCGTATGCTGCGAACAGGACTTCGCAAGACAGTGCATTTGGATAACCGTCCACATCATGGAAGTCTGGAGTATTTTATTGACTTCATTCCCAAGGACTTGTTACACAAGCCCCCGAGGGATTTTGGTCTTTTGACCGAAAAGTCCGCAGTTACCATGGCTGTCCCTGGAGTATACTTCTCTGCCCAACACTACAACCGAGTGCGCTTCTACATCAACGCAGATGACAAGGGACACACACCGCCAGTGACTTATGGCAAGGAAAATGAGAAGACATGGGAAGGTCAACGTTACTTTAAAGACGTTTACGATTCAATCTGTCAGGCTGAACACATGGTCTATATTGTTGGATGGTCCGTAGATTATACTCAATCGCTGCTAAGAGGGGTCGAACGAACAAATGGGTTGCACACCAGAAAGGACGGGTCCAAGTATAGTCCCAAAATTGGGGAATTGTTAAATCAGAAGGCCAACGAGGGAGTTGTCGTCAATATGCTGGTGTGGGATGATCAGACCTCGAACTCCATCAACAGGTGAGTGCCAGAGGTTGTTACCCTGCTCCGTCCCTCTTCTCCTTCGTTTCCCTAACCTTCTACCCTTCTCTCCTCCTTCAGGATTGGCGTCGTTGCGACAATGGATGAGCAAGTAAGTGAAGGAAATTGCGTGCCACAGCCATCAAGGTTTCTTTATAATGAAAGCATGCAGCTCACAGTTCTTTTCTTCCTCCTCTATTCCCAGTTAAGGGAATACTTTCGTAAAGGTTCCAAAGTTAACCTTGTAAGTCATCAACCCCCGCATAGATCCTGCTTAGAAGCTGCTGGACATCTGCTGCTCACGTAACGTCGTTTTCTGAATCTTTCAGAGGCTTACACCGATGGGTGGGGGGGATGCCAACGTTCTCAAGAAGTTTCGCAATGCAGTCTACTATTCGCATCACCAAAAATGCATCATGTGTGACACGCCGAGAAAAGAGTTGGTAGCCTATGTTGGTGAGTGGTATTGTGTCATTTGTGGTCCGGTCAGTGGATGCATTTCTGGCCATGCGTTCGTCTCAACTTGGTTTCCTGATTGCTTCAGGTGGCATTGATCTTACATACGGAAGATACGATGACGGCAGCTATCCTCTTTTCAAAACACTCGAAACGGATCACAAGGGAGACTTCCACAATGCATGCGCAGTTGTAAACAGCACAATGGGTCCCCGCCAGCCTTGGCATGATATCCATTCTCGCGTGGAGGGAGAGGGCGCGCTGGACGTGCTCAAGAATTTTGAGGAACGATGGATTGGCCAGGGTGGTCTCGCGTCCGACCTAGTATCTTTGGACCATTTTGGGATTCTACCCTACAACCCCGCCGAAACCGACGAGAAGGAAGATGCTTGGCATACCCAACTCTTTCGATCAATTGACGAACGAACGGCCAAGTTGAAGAAAACAAAATTCCGGGCAAACCAGTTCGAGGATACACAGGGGGTAAGCTTCAATGAGAAAAGGAAACGAAAAGCGGGGAAACGACAAACAATTCTAGAGCATCTCTTGAAAACGGGAAAAGAAAAAGAGCAGCGCTTCATCGCAGAGGGAAAACCGGCCGATGGTGCCTTCACGCTGGAAAGGGCAGAGCTCGACGTGAAACGAGATTTACGAGTCGATAGCTCTTGCCATCGGTAAGTTCATCTTGGCAAGGAATGTAATTCAGGGACCCAACCTTATGTGCTCCTCTTGCTTCCTTTTCAGAGCTTTAGTACACCATATAAGGAATGCACAGCATTGCGTATACATGGAGTCTCAGTACTTTCTGAGCAGCTCCTTCTTGTGGCCAGACGAGCAAAATGGCAAATGCTGCAATCTGGTTGCTGCTGAGATCACGTACAAGATTTGCGAAAAGATTGAAGGCGGCGAACGGTTTGCTGCTTACATTGTCCTGCCAATGTGGCCAGAGGGTCTTCCAGATGCCGCCTCAGTACAGAGCATTCTCGCCTACCAATCTTTCACCATGAGGACCATGTACGAGCGGATTGCAAACTCGATTGGGAGACGAAGAAGCAAGCTGGGCAGAGATGGGACCCAGGAGCAAATTGCGTTGATCGCAGCTGCAAGACCAACCGACTATCTGAACTTCTACTGTCTGGCAGCAAGAGAGAAAGCGGAAGCATCCGGGACTTACTTTGACAACGGTTTGCTGAGCCGCACACGACGACACTTGGTATACACTCATTCCAAGATGACCATTGTAGACGACGCTATTGCCATTATTGGGTCAGCGAATATCAATCAACGTTCTTTGGATGGCAATCGTGATAGCGAACTTCTGATGGGGTACTGGCAGCCGGCTCATGTTGCAACCAAGGCGTCAGTTCCCAATGGTGATGTCCACGGCTTTCGGATGTATTGTTTCGCTCATCTGGCAGGTACTATGGAGGATGAATTCCGCGATCCCGCCAGCTTGGGATGCGTGAGACGTCTGAATAGCATTGCTGACGAAAATTGGCAAAAGTATACAGCGGATAACGTGATCGACATGACAGCTCCCATCGTCCCCTATCCTATTACTGTCCTCCCCGATGGAAACATTGAACCAGCGACTGATGATGGAAAATTCCCAGATACATCTTCGCCAATCATTGGTAATCCAGGAAAACTTCCGAAATTTTTGACTACCTAATAACTTCTACTAGAATGAAGAATTCTTGAAGGTTACCGGAAACAGTGGTGCAGGAGGGCTACTGTAGCTAGCTAGCCAGCCAAGGGCTCTTGTGGGATTAATACTGAAAAGTTAGGTAGATTGACAACTGAAGAGATCTTATCGCAAGGTTGTCTTCTTCTTCCTTCCCTTCTTAGGACTGCCAAGCGTCTCCCATTCCTCCTTTCCATGCTGGCTGGCTTTCAATTTGATAAATTCAGTGGCAAAGGTGTTGACCTCAGGTGTCGATCCTAAGTAGGTTGTCAGGTACTGGCGGATCTCAATAGCATCGGTCAGGGTCATGCAGAATGAAACCAAGGTCAGGTCTTCTGTGCCGTTCAGCTTCTTCATGTAATCTTTGCACCACTTTTCCAAGGCTGGCGACATCGAGGCCCCGAACTCCTCCGCGGCTGTACCCGTTGCTCTCTGCTGCTGCCCAGTAGGCTTTCGCGCTTCCACTGCGGTCTGCTTTGGTCTCGCTGCAGCCTGCGCACTCGTTTTGGCAGCTGTAGCTGGTCCGCCACCGGCCATTGTTGCACTGGGCTTGACCGTACCAGGGGTCCAAGCAGAGCTTCCCGATGCTGCAACATTTGCCCAGCCACTGCTCGGTTGTTGTCGAGGCTGGGTTCCTTGTTGCATTGCTAGGGCAGCCGCACGACGCGCTTCCTCTTTCTGAATCTCGGACATGCTCTTTCGCGAAGTTGTTGCATTAGTGGCTGCCCCTCCCCAGGCAGGTGCAGCCGGTTTCGCCGCTGGAGGCGGAGCTTGTTGTTGCACAGGAACTGGCTCCTTTGCTCGCTTCTGATTGTTGCTGTTTTTGTTGTTATTATTGTCCGCCTTGCTGCGCCGTTTCTCGGCAGACTGTTCCACAGCGTTTGGTGCAGGTTGAGGAGGTTGCGCCGCAACACCAATTCCACCCGCGTCGCCAGACAAACCAAGCATCATCTTAAGTTGCGCCGAAGATTGGTTGGCTCCATTGGAAGCCTCCACATTTGCCGCAGCGGCCGCTGCTTCTGCAGCCTCCATCTCCTGGCGTTCGCGTTCGGCCGCTTCTCTTGCCTCATGTTCCTTCCTCGCAAGCTCTTCTGCATGTCTTTGTCGTTCGTATTCCTCTTCTGCACGGCGACGTTCTTCTGCAAGTCGCTGCTCCTCGAGTCGACGTTCTTCGAGCCTCCTCTCTTCCAACCGGCGCTCCTCGGCATGTCGTTGTTCTTCAAGCATACGTTCCTCCATACGGCGCTCTTCCTGTCTACGTTCCTCTGCTGCCCTGGCCCTCGCTTCAGCTTCCTCCTGGGCTCTGTCATTTTGTTGAGGCATGAAAGCCACTGAAAGATCTGGGAAAATTCCCGAAAGAACGATGAAAGGACCGCTGGCTTGCTGGCTGATGGGCAGGTCCCCTTTGAAATATCCTGCTTCGAGCCACTGCCTCATCTCGTCGCCACGAAAGGGCCCCTGTGACGAGTAGCAAAGAAAACTTATTTAGGTTGCAAGAAAACAGCAAGAAGCAATTCCCAATCAAACGCGCACCTGAATGTTGTTTTGAGGGTCAGAGTAGAACCAGGGGGCATCGGGGTTGATACGCGGTGGCCCCTCGGTTGACATACTACGCTGACGCTGGATAGTTTCCATACGGATCTGCTCTTCGCGGCGTCGCAATTCTTCTTGTTGTTGCGCGCGAACCTGAGCCTCGTGCTGCTGAAACTGGGCATTCGTCATTTGAAGGACCGCCATTTCGGTGCCGAAGGCGGGGTCCTGGCGCAAGGCAACTCGTCTAGGATTGTGTGCAATGAGGTCCCTGAGCAAGTCAACGTTTCCCAACAGAGGAATGACTCGAGAATCTTCAGCATGGAGAGTTGATAAAATCGACACAAGATCGGACCGTCCCCATGAGTTTTCCAAGATTGTCGTGATACGTTCCATGAGAACCAACTCAACTTGCGCCTGTGGACTAGGCTGTTGCTGTTGTTGCATAGCTTGCTGTTGTTGCGCTTGTTGGCGCGCCCGTTCTTGGGCCTGCTGCTGCTGCGCCAATGCTCGTCGTTGCGATTCTTCTTGCTCTTGTCTACGCCGCAAAAGTTCTTTCTGTTCCATTTCCGCAGCCTCGCGGGCCTTTTGTTCCGCGGCAAACGATTCCAACCGTGACGCAAGGTCCATCCCCAGTCCAACATTTTGTTGCGTAGATTGCGGTGTTGGAAGCATGGGACCACCCCAAGGATTCAAAGGGATCGAGGTAGAAGAAGAGGGACCGCCAAGACCTAATAAGCCTGCGGTATCGTTAGAGGGTGCACTGCCATTCCAAGGAGACAAGCCGGGTTCGTTTTTCGGTTCCTCACCAGATCCCGCGTTATCCTCTTTCTTAACTCCAATCATTGCCATCAATCTGGACGATGCTTCCTCTTCGGCAGTCATGGTGGAGGTTGGTTCCTCTGCAGGTGGTGCTGCTGCCGGATCATCCAAGGCCGGCTGTTCTCCCAAGTCGTCTTCTTCCGTGGGTGCATCAAAATCTTCAAACACATTAACGTTGTCGCCTGAACCCGAACGGATCGTGGTCCCGATCGTTGCTAGTGGACGCTTGGGATCAACATGGACCTGCCTGGCATTAATTTCCTCTTCGTCCTCCAAGTCATTGGAACCTCGAGAACCGTGTAGCTCTTCTTCAAATTTACGAGTGGCTTCTGCCATTTTTTCAAAGTCAAATGTATCACCACTACCAGTAGACGCACCGTCACCACCACCACCACTACCACTACCCTTGAGATCACCCTCTGGCATTCCTCCAAAAGCACTAAAGTCCATGGCCGCGCCGGTGGCACCTCCAACAGGATCATCCCAAAGATCACTCGGGTGGTTGGCATCTTTGTCTTTGCCGCTTCCTCGTTTCTCCTCCGAGGGAGGCAAAGCCACGCCGCGCTGCCAACGACCCGTATTTGGTGCATTATAACTTCTGCGTCTTTCCCCGGGTGTCAGTTCCTCGCCACCACGAGTAGGCCCTCCTTTGGGCATTGGCACACTGGAACGACGCATAGGAACTGCCGCCCAAATCTCATCGGCATCCGCATCATTGGCGTCCCAACAGACTAGTATAGTAGTAACGCAGGGGAGAGCAAATCATCAGATGATGCAGAATTCTACAACCAAAGCGAAAATGTGTAAAAAAGACCAGAGAAAAGACCAATGTCTTACCAGGATCCTGAGGCTCTTCGGACAGCAAAACAACGGCCTCCACGTGCTTGAGATGAGGCGGCGGAAATCCTGCGTTCATGTCCGGGCGAGGCCGCATGGAGAGTAGCTTTTCACGGGTGTAGCGAATGCATTTGGCAGCTTCTACGGCCTTTTTGTATTCGGACGGTTCAGCGCGAGGATTATTCCGTCCTTCTAGCGCATCCTGAGCAGGATCACCGCTTCCTCCTCGACCGGCCAAATCCGAAAAGCGTCTTCCGCCGGTTCCTCCTCCTCCTCCGGCAGCACCAGTGGCCGGATACGTTCCGACAGAAGCAGCCCTGCTGATGCCGTCCGGTACACGGGCTGCTAAATCCGCGAGCGATCGTCCAGGTTTGGAAGCCCGTCCATGGAAGCTGGAGCGAAAGGCTTCGCTGCGAGCATTCTGTTTGTGCTCTCCGTTGTTGTTACTACTGTCGGTGCTGCTATTGTTGGTGTGACGGTCACGGCCCTTCTTTCGTTCGATGCTGATGAATTCACCTTCGTCGTCTTGAAGAGCAGAGAACTTGTTCGCGTCTCGTTTGGCCATGGAATCGCCACCAATCGAAGAGGACCTTGGACGGCTGTCCGATGTCACAGTGGGTGGTGGCTGAAAGCCTCGACCACCTTTCCAGGCAGGTCGCAAAGAGGAACTTCCCGAGTTGGTACTCATGATGCAGAATGTCTATTTTGGTTGTCGTATGAAAAAAGCGTATTGATACAGTCTAGCTCGATAGCAAGAGGTCTCCAGCGGCAGTGAGTTGTCACGTAAAGTGCTGTTGCCAACGACACAGAGTAAAGAGGCGCAAGATAGATACGTATCCACAAGTAAGTTAGGTTAGCAACAACAGATAGATGGTAAGACAATGACACAAGCACGACGGAGACATGGGCCAGCAGCGTGAAATGAGAGCGCTTGTCACCACAGGATCTTGACTAGAGCAATAATGCCCTATTCCAAATGCCAAATTTCCTATTCAAAAGCAGCTCATGACTCGGTCAATCACGGATCTTGGCACCGTCCACCTGCCCCCTGGATTTGCTTCTTCCTGCCCTCGACCATGGCGATGATCTTTCCTTTCAAGCCAAACAACTTCCTGATCGTCTCACTAACTGCTCTGCCATGCTTCAGAGTAACACTTTGCCTCATCAAATCCATCCAAGAAGCCCGTTCACTACAAACAACGTCGTCCATGGTCTTACCTCCTCACAACAGCGCGAAAGATACAATGATCAAAGCTGCAGCACTCGGTGTGATCGAAGTTGACGGGCGCAGACAGACGTCGGCAGAATTGTGAAGATCGGTTCCTTGTTCCTTGACACTGCCCTCGTGACTGAGCCAGCTACTGAGTACTGAGCCACTCATCAGGATAACCTTGAGCCACACTTTGGAACGTTGGCTCGGCCCCTCGTTCGGATCCTAGCAGCTAGCTATTAGACTCACCAAGCTACCGGTAGCTAGCTAGCGAGAGGGCGAGGTTGACACCAGCGACAGCAACCGCCCTGGAGCGAGGCAAGAACCTGGTGATAGATATCAAGATGGGCTGTCACAGAATCCACATCTGATGGGGATCTGCCACCAGACAAAGGCAGGCTACAGGAATGAAACCATCTCCGTATTTCTGCTGGCCTGTGGCCTGCACTCACGAAACATCTAGCTAGATTGGTTTGATTCGATTCACATTCGATGTATGTCGGTCCATTGATGCAGCTGTCGCATGGGTGGGCCAATCAGTGACAAATCTAACTCGCAAGAGGAAGGTCTTCATTCTATTCCACAAGCTAAAGTACCAAGCTGTTTTCATAGGCTCCCAATCTTCAAAAGCAACAGCTCGAGAAGCAATCAAAATCTAGTACTGGTATACCAGTACCCATGCCACAAGCGCAGAAAAGATCATGATCGCAAGTTTTGGCTGCTTGTCGCTACCGGGACATGTGTTGTCCTCATCAAAGCAAGCACTATGATTATCAGCAAAGATTCCAGTCTGCAAAATGTTACCCCAGCCAGTTGCCAGGTTCAATCTCGAGTGTTACTGTGGTGACTGGTTTTACTTGAACCAAGGCAATGAAAATACGTACAATCTCAAGCAAGATGGTGATTTGAACAACGAACAGACGACGTTTGCAGCCGACTATATGGCAACAAGGTAGACCTGTGGGTATCTGGCAATCCCAACTACTGTACCAGTACCGGTACAGTAGTGCTATTCGGGCAATTGTGAGCATGGTGGCATGGCTGAGTTTGGTGGCCACACACTATTGGAGTTGAGTTGAAGGCGCCATGGCAGGCAGTGGCCATCATCACTTGATGAAATGGAGGACACTCGGTGGCAAGCTTTTGCATACATCAAGCCCAGAGCACAATCCAGACTGACTAGAACTCCTTCTGTACTGGTACTATTGGAGCTGAAGATAAGATTAAGAAGGGGGGCTCTTGAAGTTATGTTCTCTGCATCACTATACTGGTAAGCTGCTAAGCTTCAACCCACGCCACACACAATACACTCGCACCAAGTTCATGCTCAGAGGAAGAAAGCCATGGCAGCTGCTGCCAACAGAGAAGAGCCAAATACCACACAACCAGTACTTGATGCTGAGCCAGCAACGTCGAGCTCCAGACCACCATGATGGTGTTCAATCAAAGATGACGCAATGAAATGGAATTCAATCAACCGGAATGTTCGAACTCAGCCGTACGCAGCATCGCAATGAGAACTTCGACTGACTCGTCACTCTACTAGAAGGTTGGTCGGAAAAAGCCTGGTCGGCTCCGATCAACACCAGCAGCAAAGGTTTCCACTGTACGGTGGGAGACCACGACCCGTGAAGTGTGCGAGGCAGTTCCCTGGCCGTGGTTGCTCGTCATTGTTCCGCCCGGTATCCCCCTGAGGGCGCTTCACTATTCCGCTATTCTGGGAAAAGCAAAAGTTTTGGACTGGGGTTGCAGGAAGGACAGCCGAGTCAGCAGTAGAAGCTGCAAAGGTTGTTCTTGGTAGTATGATAGTGGTCGCAGGACGTGAGTTCTGTTTGGGGTAATCCTCAGCACCAATCCATCCAATCTCCATCATCGCCGCCTCCTCTTTGGTGGTTGATTTGCCGGTCGCGGGACCCTGCATCGTCTCTTTAGTCTTCTTCTGGCTGCCTGCTCTGTTGTTTGAAGGAGGCGGATGATCGAGTGCGAACTGTCAGAGATGAAAGAGGAGAATGAGACAGCGCAATTTGAGACTTCTATCGCTGTGAAGCATTGGATCATTCATTGCGATCGAACAGAGACTCTTTGTATAGTGGTGGAGGAGGAGCGACTGTACATGTGCAGCACCGATGGTAGTCTTGACACCTTGCGAGAATCCGGAAGTGTCTGCCGTGACATCGTTCATTTGTCTAAGAGGACCTTCGAGTTTGCTCTTGCTCCGCCCCTGTTGTTGAACTCAGTCACTCGAATAGTCGATCTGTTGGTTGGAGGGTCCATTGATTTGTCACTGCGGTGCCAGCACAACGATCGGTCAAGACTAGACTTGCACCGACTCCATGGTAAACTTGCACCGACTGACTAGTAGACTTACACCGACTGTAGTCGGCTTGCACCGCCATCGTCGAATGTCACGGCTCTGTGGGAAATAGAAACACATCGTGAGGAACAGTGTCGCTGTGGGTGGCTGCGCGACGAGTTGAGACAGTCCGCTGAGAAGACGAGAAGAGGAAGGAACGAGGACAGTCTTCCGGCGTTGTGAGAATGATTGGGGATAGGAGCGAAGGTCAAATCAGCATCGTCGTTGCTCGGTTGGTGCAAGCGTCTGGTCGGTGTTCAACCAGCCTGTCAATGAACTTCGTCGAATGCTTGGCTGCTGCTGTTGTTTGCCCGCACGAGTGACAGTCGAGTGTCAGCCAGTCAAATCGTCTTCATCATCACCTTTGCTTGCCGCTGTGCACATCGTGGTCGTCGCCGTCTGCGTGCTTGGCTGCTGCTGTTGTTTGCTGTCGGAAAGAAAAGAGTTGCTGTGTGACGAGTCGAGTCGAGTCTGTCAAATCATCGTCATTGATCGGTTGGCTGATGTTGTCGCCGTCGTCGGAAAGGAAGTCGCGAGTCGCTGTGCGAGGAGTCTGTAAAATGGCGATCGTCGTCGTCCTCTGCTTGGCTGACTGGTGTTGTTTGCTGTGGGGAAGGAAGGAAGGAACGAATGAATCGAATCGCTGTGCGAAGAGTGGCAAATCAATGTCATTGTCCGCGTTGCTGCAGCTGTCTCTTGCCACAGCGAACTGGAGAGGAGGAGGACCGAGTCAAGGCCAACTCGACTCAAAGGACGACGCAGAAATCTTGGTACAGTAGATGTCGTCTTTGGCAAAAGGCTGCAGCCGTGAGAGGATTTGCGTGCACCCCCTCTTCCGTACCGGTACCAGCACATGTACCGTACCTCTCGACAACTCAACGCCGACGGTCAAAACAGAAAGGAAGAGTGACAGTCGTAGTCGAGTGACAGTCCTCAACGTCGCAATAAACAAATGAATTGCTCGAGACAGACTCTATCATGCAATCACGAAAACAATGCCGTCGTGGCTGCATCAAAAAAGAAAAGAGCACAGTCCGCATCGTACGTGTCGCAAGCAAATCATGCCTCGAACAACAGCGACCAACACAAAGCACAAGCAACCAAATCCACAGCTCCATCGTCGTCGTCCGGTTCAGTGCTTCTTGCCGTTTGGCGTCGTCGGACAACACACACAAATCATGCCTCGAACAACAACAAACAACAACAAACAACAACAAACAACAACAAACAACAACAAACAACAACAAACAACAACAAACAACAACAAACAACAACAAACAACAACAAACAACAACAAACAACAACAAACAACAACAAACAACAACAAACAACAACAAACAAAGGGGAACTCAAGGGCCGTCGGCGTCGATCAAACCACAAATCCACCATCGTCGTCGTCGTCTCCGCTTTCGTGCACATCGATTCGAATGCAGGTGGTTTCTTTTGTCGTTGCCTTTTGAGTTCCGGTGGTTTCTCCTTTTGCCGTAGAATTGTGTGGATTCTCCTCTTGGCCACACTCTCCGGTGGTTTCTTTTCTGTGTCGCAGAGAAACGGCAGCGCGAAACGCCAGCTTTTTGAGGTTGCTTTCAGACCGTTTCTCGCGTAGGCTACGGTACATTTCGTACGCTTTTTTGATCTATTTGATTTCAGACCGTTTCTCGCCTAGACCGTAGTACAATCTCTACACCGAAAGACGAGAAATGTTGGATCACGAGATTTGGTTTGACCACCCCAAATCAACATCAAAATCACATCAAAATCACTTCAAAGGAAGGTCTCACTTTTTCTCTCAAAGAGATCTTTGAATCTCTGAATCCACTCCTTGCAGTCACAGCATCCTGCTCTTCCTTACCAAAAACATCCTCAACTCCTACCGTAACCATCATACTAATCCACCATGAAGCTATCAATCATTGCTCTGTTCGCTCTTCCTTTTGCCAAAGCCAGTGGTGTTCTCACGTCCTCTACCCATCGATCATTGGCTTCAACCAACCTTGACCAACTTGGATCAGCCATCTTTGGCACACCCTCAAACCTCCTGACTGGACGTGGCAATGTCGAATTCGGAAGCTCCGTGTTCCTGTCATCTGACGGAAGCAACCTCCTTGTCGGGGCTATTGAGAATGACTTTGATGCTGATGGAGTCCAAGCAGTGAACTCTGGTGCAGTCTTCCTGTATGAACTCAATGATCAACGCGAGTGGGACTCTACTCCAACCTGGTCCCTTCATGGTGCAGCTACTGAAGAAGTAGGAGAATTTATCTCTCTCAGCAATGATGCTTCAATGGTGGCTGTCCGTCGCTACAACTCTGTCCCGCATCCTGTGGAAATCTACAACCCATCAACTGGCAATCTCATTGGCTCCCCTGTTGCCTGCCGTGACAATGGTCCCAACTCCATCGACGGCGATTTTATTGCTTTGAGTCCTGATGGACAACGTCTCGCTTTGAATTGCCGAACCTCTGCCGGACGTGTCCAGTTCTTTGACTTGGTTGGTGATGCCTGGATCACCAATGGCGAACTCAATGGCTCTGCTGCTGGAGATCAGTTTGGATTCATCTTTTCTTTCTCCGGAGATGGCAACCGCATTGCAATAGGGTCTCCCAACCATGATACTGCAGGCAACAATGCTGGACTCGTTCAAGTCTTTGACTACGATGGTGCTGTCTGGTCTCAAGTTGGCCAAGATGCCTTTGGCTTGGGTGACAATCACCAGTTTGGATTCGCCCTTGATCTTTCCCATGATGGCACCACTCTTGTTGTCTCTGCTCCCGCCGCTTCCTCTGCTGCAGGTGATCTTGCTGGTCAGGTTGAGACCCTCACTTACAACACAGCTTCTGATGAGTGGGTCCGTGGCCAGTTTGCTGAGGGTGGAGTCATTGCTGGAGACCCATCAGATCGATTTGGACGCTCCATCTCTGTCTCTTCCGATGGATCTCGCTTCATTGCCTCCTCTTGGACCAACAGCCAATCTCGAGGGAAGGTGGAGCTCTACGAATTGCAGGATGGCCAGTGGACTGAGATTGCAAGTGCCACAGGAAACAATGTCGGGGATCGCCTTGGTTTTGGACGCTCTGGAGTCTACTTGACACCTGATGGCACCACACTGGGTGCTGGCGAAGTTTGGACCAATGATCCTGCAATTGATCCCGCCCAGAACAACCCCTCCACAGGCCGTGTTTTGGTCTTTGAGACTCAGGTTGGAACTACTACCACTGATGCTCCAACAACTTCCATCCCCAGTGCATCTCCCAGTGCATCACCCACTGCGTCTCCCAGCGCCTCTCCCACAGCATCACCCACAGGCAACCCCACTGCCTCTCCCACGGACACCCCCATTTCCAGTCCTTCAAAGTCCCCTTCCCTGGCTCCCATCACAGACAGTCCTACTGGTGGTACAGCAGAAACTGAGTCACCTTCTGCAGCCCCCATCACAGGCTCTCCCACAACTGGTAGCCCAACAAGTGCTACTCCCACTGGTTCCAATACTGGTAGCCCCACCGGTTCCCCTACAGGCTCGCCCACCGCTTCCCCCACCGCTTCCCCTACCGGCTTGCCCACAGGGAGCCCCACCGAGAGTCCCACTGGTTCCTCTACTGGCTCCCCCACAGGGAGCACCAACATCGCCCCCACACCAACTCCGTCTGTTGCTGCAAGTTCCACCTCTTCTCCCACATCTGATGTATCTTCTCCTACAGCATCAGATTCTTTGACACAGTCTCCAACAGCTGTTGATGACGACTTTATTGATGATGATGCCTTGGGATTCATGCACTGGGACATCACAAGAACAGGGGACATTGATGTGGAGTTCAGCGATGAAAGATCTGACATGGAGATTATGCTGACCTACAACATCAACAGGCGCAGCTTCATGGTGCGGGTCTTTGAGTCTGACTGTGGAACCCCTGTGGCCAACACAACCATTGTGATCAATGCCACTGCTTCCCCAAGCTCATTTGCGCATGACACCTTGACTATAATGCTTGATGTTGTCCAAGATGAACTCTTTGACAGCCCCATCTTCCAATCAATTGATGCTGAATCAGCAGTGCTTGAAATCTGTACTCGGCTAGACTTGATCGATGATGATGGCACATCGGTGGTCTTCCATGAGCAGCAGCTGGTTGTTAATTTGGACCTCACCAACAATTTTGCCACTGACGTCACTCTTAGCCGCGAAGATGCTGATCTTGATACTGCAGACGTTGACCTTCAGTATGGAATCTATGCTTGCGCCTGCAACCCTGCCACTTTTGAATGCTTGCAAAATGAAAATGCTGTGTACACACAGAACTCCATTGTGTCCATCTGCCTCAACAGCACTGATGCTTCGATTTCTGATGTCCAAGAGTTGCAGCTGACCCAAGGAACCCTCACCAACTTTGCCATCACAAACTTCACTGGAACCAAGTTCACTCGAGTTTTTCTTCTCAATGATGGGCGTGCTGTCATCCAAACACGTCTTCTTTCAGCCTTCTTCTCTTCTTCTAATCCTGATCCTATTGAAGCAAGTGGAACAGTCACACTTGGATTTGATCGCCGCAGCCTACGACTTGCCCGCTCTCTGGCAGAAGCAAATGGTGAATATGCTGAGTTCGGTGGTCTGGAGCTTAATGTTGCTGGCTCGGAGTCAAATGCTGGTCGTGTGGTATTTGGCTCTTCTCTGTTGGTAGCAGCTGCCATGGCTTTGTTCCTCTGAGCATGAACTGACTTGGTGCGAGTGTATTGTGTGTGGCGCGGCGTTGAAGCTTAGCAGCTTACCAGTAGTGATGTAGAGAACATAACTTTTGAGAGCCAGCCCCCCTTCTTAATCTTATCTTCAGCTCCAATACTAGTACAGAAGTAGTTCTACTATTTAGTCTGGGTTGGTTGTGCTCTGGGCTCGATGTATGAAAAAGCTTGCCACCGAGTGTCCTCCATTTCATCAAGTGATGATGGCCAATGCCTGCATGAAGCCTTCAACTCAACTCAAATGTATTGGTGTGCGGCCACGAAACTCAACCAAGATCACCATGCCTACAAGCTTCCAGCAATGCCACCACACTCCCCACCCTTTTCTGGGCACCATACACTCTTCATCTCGGGTTCTCGCATATTGAAAATCCAGGTCAGATCAGACAATGATGTCGGCCACCGATAGACCATCCTCACAAGCAAACTGATTGGATGTCTACTTCAACTGTGGTTCTGTTCTGGGATCACAAGAAACCCCGAGAAAATGACTACGTCCTCTTCGCGGCGGTCGATTGGATTGATCAGCCTACCTCAATTCCTTGACTCGACTCCAATGAAGTGTTAGCCTAGTTTTCAACCATTGTTCGAATAATGATATGCCAAGGAAAGCTTGAATGTGATCTCAGCCAGTCCTAGAATCTGTGCATACATTGTAGATTGTCAGCTATATCATTTTCTTGTTCGCTTTCTTGTCCCACCATACCGCACTACTAGTACCTTCATCCGAGCAGAATAAGAATAGGCGCCAAGCCAAAACAGGTACGGTACTGGGTGGCGATGCAGAACCGTCGAGACAGAGGCTTCCAGGACATTTCTAGCTAGCTACGGCACTAGTAGCTAGCAGGATCATCGTTATCATCCAGCGATATAGAGATGGGTTTGCCTAAGTCGTCTTGGTTCTCTTCTTCTGCAAACACCAAGAACAGGAACGATGCCGTTCTTGAGCGAAGTGTTTCGTCTCCATAGAGACAACTTGTTTGGGGTCTGGGGGCGAGGTGGTCCTTTAGGCACGTGTGCTACTGTAGGAAATTGTATTGGAATTAGATAATGCAACAACATGGTGGACGCACCAACGGATGCCGATACACACAAAAAGACTTATGTGAAATTACTCGTCACACATTGAAGTTCCCTTTAAGAGCTCAATATTTAACCATTCGATACTTCGATACCCATGGCCACCACCATTCAGCCCCCAAAACTGCTTGTATCACACAATTTTGTGACGAGTCAAAACGGTAAAAATACTCGAGCACTTGAGTACTCAGCACTATTAATAGTACCGGCCACCGTACCGGTATGCAGTCTACACCACAGCTGGCTAGTACTATGTAGCAGCCATATAGAGTAGCGCGCGACCGGCATTCCTTGTCGCCTTGGGACTTGGAAGTACGACTGTATCAGCCTTGTTGTTGCACATAGCAAGTGGCAATCAGTTTCTCAGTCGAGCTGAGAGAGTCCTTGTGTCGGTGGGCTTCGGCTTCACCAATGGTCGTTCCATAAAAAGCAGATCCGTAGAACGTTGTTCGACAGGCAACAACAGCACCATTGTGGGATTGGGCTTGCCTTTGTATCATAGATTCCATTTGATCCAGCCTGCATCGGTACCGTGCCATATCATCATCTGAGGCTCGGGAAAACCGAAAGTAGAACACCTGTACCGGTAGGCCACTGTGTGTGCACACTTGTAAGCTTGTCTTGACTGGTTTCCGTGGTAGTAGCAGCGTTAGTGGGTGTCATTCCATCCATCGCTTCAGTTGACTGGCTGCTTTTCCATTCTCTAACCTTGGCAGCTTTCGCAGACACAAAATCGTCAAAAATTATCCGTCCAACAGTACCGTACCTGCCGTCCAACAGTACCGTGCCTGGTTCTGGTAGAGCCATCACAAGAGAAGGCATCATGGTTGCTGCTCAGCTCCGTGGACCGAAAGAAGGCATAATGGAAGCCATCAATCAATCCGTTTGTCAACAGAAAGAAGCTCATTAATGCAGCTACATGATTGGGAGCATGATATTGTGGAGTCTTCTTCTTCGCAGGAGTACACTGTAGTAGCCCGTAGCCGCTGTGCAGTTCAATTCAATGGTGTCTCCTCCATTTGAAGTGGCCGCCACAAGATCTAACCACCACATACCATTTTGTTTTTTGACCCATGCTATTCCATGCCGCATTCCTACAAGGCCTGGGGTATCAGGCAATAGACTGACTGCGGTTTTTTCCATGGTGATGTGTGTTGATTGTACTATTCAAGGGTTGCCTTTTCTTGTACTGGTAGCTATGATACACTGGAATTTCACAACAGCCATCCAAATGTCACATCCACCGGCAACTCATGGGCAAAGAACTGGATCTTCTCCTGTTCACAAGGGTATGTTAAAGAGCAAATAGGTTGTAAGCAGTGCAGCAGGCTGGAATAGTTCTTCATTAAGAGGAACAGCAAATACGAGTTGGTGGCTTACCTCATGTCCCGTCAACAGACAGACATGGTTGATTGTTGCTTCTGCTGACACATGAATCTTCTCCTATACAAGGATACCTACATCTTTTTCTAGGTAAAGATAGATAGTAAACAAAGAGGTTGTTTGTACCAGGAATGGCTCTAGCCGTCAATTCCAGCATAGCGTAGTCGTGAGTTGCTTGCCGCACCCGTATCTTCCAGCGATGGAGTTCTAAGGAGCAGCCAAGCAAGGCCCACAGCCAAGGTTCATTTTGCCTACACACGTATCTTCTTCGACAAGAAAAACTGAGGTGAAGTGGTCAGCCAGGTGATGGGAGTTTGCCATTTGTGATGGACACGAGCGCCATGGTCACGTCTTTGGATTTGGACTTCGAAGCCAAAAGTGGGTTGCATGGTGTTGTCGGGGCCTTGCTTATTATTCGAAGATGGTAGTCAATTTCGGCCAACTCGAAGGGATTTTGCGCTGTCGGTGCTCTGGTCATTGGTTGCATAGAGCTAGTGAAGTCATGCGACAGTTCCGAGAGTCGTATGAGGTCGTCAGAGGAGCCTGGGAGTGTCGAAAATGAGTTTTTCATAGTGTCACGGTGAGCATGGAATGATTGGATTGATCGGTCGATCGTTCTTCAGCTCTAGCAGACTTTCGGAAACGTCACTGGTTGCTGCCGGTGGCACACTGTTGATGCCGTGTAGGGGAAGAGAGTACTGATAGTACCGGTAGTGGGTTTGTCTAGCTAGATAGCGGAGTAGCGCCATGATGGTCATTCAAGAGTGGATATTTTGTGCTGTGCACTGGCATGCCTTATATTATATAAGCCTGCAGGCTGGCTTTACTTTGGGTGCCATTGAGCGTGGAGACGACCTAGAAGGCTCTCAATTTCATGGACAACATCAAAATCACATCAAAATCACTTCAAAGGAAGGTCTCACTTTTTCTCTCAAAGAGATCTTTGAATCTCTGAATCCACTCCTTGCAGTCACAGCATCCTGCTCTTCCTTACCAAAACATCCTCAACTCCTACCGTAACCATCATACTAATCCACCATGAAGCTATCAATCATTGCTCTGTTCGCTCTTCCTTTTGCCAAAGCCAGTGGTGTTCTCACGTCCTCTACCCATCGATCATTGGCTTCAACCAACCTTGACCAACTTGGATCAGCCATCTTTGGCACAACCTCAAACCTCCTGACTGGACGTGGCAATGTCAAATTCGGAAGCTCCGTATTCCTGTCATCATCTGATGGAAGCAACCTCCTTGTCGGGGCTATTGAGAATGACTTTGATGCTGATGGAGTCCAAGCAGTGAACTCTGGTGCAGTCTTCCTGTATGAACTCAATGATCAACACGAGTGGGACTCTACTCCAACCTGGTCCCTTCATGGTGCAGCTACTGAAGAAGTAGGAGAATTTATCTCTCTCAGCAATGATGCTTCAATGGTGGCTGTCCGTCGCTACAACTCTGTCCCGCATCCTGTGGAAATCTACAACCCATCAACTGGCAATCTCATGTTGCCTGCCGTGACAATGGTCCCAACTCCATCGACGGCGATTTTATTGCTTTGAGTCCTGATGGACAACGTCTCGCTTTGAATTGCCGAACCTCTGCCAGACGTGTCCAGTTCTTTGACTTGGTTGGTGATGCCTGGATCACCAATGGCGAACTCAATGGCTCTGCTGCTGGAGATCAGTTTGGCTTCATCTTTTCTTTCTCCGGAGATGGCAACCGCATTGCAATAGGGTCTCCCAACCATGATACTGCAGGCAACAATGCTGGACTCGTTCAAGTCTTTGGCTACGATGGTGCTGTCTGGTCTCAAGTTGGCCAAGATGCCTTTGGCTTGGGTGACAATCACCAGTTTGGATTCGCCCTTGATCTTTCCCATGATGGCACCACTCTTGTTGTCTCTGCTCCCGCCGCTTCCTCTGCTGCAGGTGATCTTGCTGGTCAGGTTGAGACCCTCACTTACAACACAGCTTCTGATGAGTGGGTCCGTGGCCAGTTTGCTGAGGGTGGAGTCATTGCTGGAGACCCATCAGATCGATTTGGACGCTCCATCTCTGTCTCTTCCGATGGATCTCGCTTCATTGCCTCCTCTTGGACCAACAGCCAATCTCGAGGGAAGGTGGAGCTCTACGAATTGCAGGATGGCCAGTGGACTGAGATTGCAAGTGCCACAGGAAACAATGTCGGGGATCGCCTTGGTTTTGGACGCTCTGGAGTCTACTTGACACCTGATGGCACCACACTGGGTGCTGGCGAAGCTTGGACCAATGATCCTGCAATTGATCCCGCCCAGAACAACCCCTCCACAGGCCGTGTTTTGGTCTTTGAGACTCAGGTTGGAACTACTACCACTGATGCTCCAACAACTTCCATCCCCAGTGCATCTCCCAGTGCATCACCCACTGCGTCTCCCAGCGCCTCTCCCACAGCATCACCCACAGGCAACCCCACTGCCTCTCCCACGAACACCCCCATTTCTAGTCCTTCAAAGTCCCCTTCCCTGGCTCCCATCACAGACAGTCCTACTGGTGGTACAGCAGAAACTGAGTCACCTTCTGCAGCCCCCATCACAGGCTCTCCCACAACTGGTAGCCCAACAAGTGCTACTCCCACTGGTTCCAATACTGGTAGCCCCACCGGTTCCCCTACAGGCTCGCCCACCACTTCCCCCACCGCTTCCCCTACCGGCTTGCCCACAGGGAGCCCCACCTGGTGATGTGTGTTGATTGTACTATTCAAGGGTTGCCTTTTCTTGTACTGGTAGCTATGATACACTGGAATTTCACAACAGCCATCCAAATGTCACATCCACCGGCAACTCATGGGCAAAGAACTGGATCTTCTCCTGTTCACAAGGGTATGTTAAAGAGCAAATAGGTTGTAAGCAGTGCAGCAGGCTGGAATAGTTCTTCATTAAGAGGAACAGCAAATACGAGTTGGTGGCTTACCTCATGTCCCGTCAACAGACAGACATGGTTGATTGTTGCTTCTGCTGACACATGAATCTTCTCCTATACAAGGATACCTACATCTTTTTCTAGGTAAAGATAGATAGTAAACAAAGAGGTTGTTTGTACCAGGAATGGCTCTAGCCGTCAATTCCAGCATAGCGTAGTCGTGAGTTGCTTGCCGCACCCGTATCTTCCAGCGATGGAGTTCTCTTGGTTCTCTTCTTCTGCAAACACCAAGAACAGGAACGATGCCGTTCTTGAGCGAAGTGTTTCGTCTCCATAGAGACAACTTGTTTGGGGTCTGGGGGCGAGGTGGTCCTTTAGGCACGGGTGCTACTGTAGGAAATTGTATTGGAATTAGATAATGCAACAACATGGTGGACGCACCAACGGATGCCGATACACACAAAAAGACTTATGTGAAATTACTCGTCACACATTGAAGTTCCCTTTAAGAGCTCAATATTTAACCATTCGATACTTCGATACCCATGGCCACCACCATTCAGCCCCCAAAACTGCTTGTATCACACAATTTTGTGACGAGTCAAAACGGTAAAATACTCGAGCACTTGAGTACTCAGCACTTTTAATAGTACCAGCCACCGTACCGGTATGCAGTCTACACCACAGCTAGCTAGTACTATGTAGCAGCCATATAGAGTAGCGCGCGACCGGCATTCCTTGTCACCTTGGGACTTGGAAGTACGACTGTATCAGCCTTGTTGTTGCACATAGCAAGTGGCAATCAGTTTCTCAGTCGAGCTAAGCGAGTCCTTGTGTCGGTGGGCTTCGGCTTCACCAATGGTCGTTCCATAAAAAGCAGATCCGTAGAACGTCGTTCGACAGGCAACAACAGCACCATTGCGGGATTGGGCTTGCCTTTGTATCATAGATTCCATTTGATCCAGCCTGCATCGGTACCATGCCATATCATCATCTGAGGCTCGGGAAAACCGAAAGTAGAACACCTGTACCGGTAGGCCACTGTGTGTGCACACTTGTAAGCTTGTCTTGACTGGTTTCCGTGGTAGTAGCAGCGTTAGTGGGTGTCATTCCATCCATCGCTTCAGTTGACTGGCTGCTTTTCCATTCTCTAACCTTGACAGCTTTCGCAGACACAAAACCGTCAAAAATTATCCGTCCAACAGTACTGTACCTGCCGTCCAACAGTACCGTGCCTGGTACTGGTAGAGCCATCACAAGAGAAGGCATCATGGTTGCTGCTTAGCTCCGTGGACCGAAAGAAGGTATAATGGAAGCCATAAATCAATCCGTTTGTCAACAGAAAGAAGCTCATTAATGCAGCTACTTGATTGGGAGCATGACATTGTGGAGTCTTCTTCTTCGCAGGAGTACACTGTAGTAGCCCGTAGCCGCTGTGCAGTTCAATTCAATGGTGTCTCCTCCATTTGAAGTGGCCGCCACAAGATCTAACCACCACATACCATTTTGTTTTTTGACCCATGCTATTCCATGCCGCATTCCTACAAGGCCTGGGGTATCAGGCAATAGACTGACTGCAGTTTTTTCCACCGTACCGCACTACTAGTACCTTCATCCGAGCAGAATAAGAATAGGCGCCAAGCCAAAACAGGTACGGTACTGGGTGGCGATGCAGAACCGTCGAGACAGAGGCTTCCAGGACATTTCTAGCTAGCTACGGTACTAGTAGCTAGCAGGATCATCGTTATCATCCAGCGATATAGAGATGGGAATGAACCGACAGGTCTGTATTTGTAACGGCTGGTTAGACCGGTGCGAAATACAGACCGACCGTTAACGCCACGTCATGAAAAAATGCCACGTCATAAAAAAAACCGTTGAAAACGTTCAGCGACCATGTGTCAAAATTTTCGCTAGTACTTAACAGTGAGTAGGAGTCAACAACAAATCAAGTACGATACAAACTTATTGCGTGTCAATTTTAGAAGGGTGCTCATTGTCGTACTATTTCAATGAAGCAACCCACTATAATTTGATCGCGGCAAGTTTGTGGAATGTTGGAAAATACCAGTCGTTCCGAATCGTTCCGAGTAAGTGATGTGCATCGATTTTAAAGCGTTGAATTCAATCGTAGAAAATTTCTCCATAAACCCTATCTTTCAGCAACAAATATGGTTTATCAATTTATAGTAAGAAACTCATGACATAGAGCTGTTTCAGAATTTGATATTCCACTTTTGTGGCTTGCATTTGGGGTTCTTAGCTAACGGAAGGTTAAGAGAGGAGGAACGTCGATAACACAAATGAGAAGGCTGAAATCGCCTGATCGACCGGAGCTACTCCATTTCATTCCTTACTTCTGCTCTCATAATCTCCAATCGACAAAACTGAAAAGCGAATCTATGCAATTCCAGTATCAGAACCTACCGAGCGAAACCACCACCATTATACCCATTCCATCCATGTTGATAGCCACCATGATGAGGATTGTTGCCGGTACGTTCTACACCATTATTTGCTGCGGATTGTTGTGGGTTTGCATGTTGTGGCGGTGGTACCATCGGGTATGCATGCTGCCGTGGTGGTGGTGGTGGTGGTGGTGGTGGTGGAGGTGGTATCTGACCCGTCGGAAATGGTGGATGGTATGGTGGCACACCGGGTGGTGGATACGGTGGATAACCGTACAGATAGAGAACCCCATACGGATTGTACGGAAGACCTGCAAGGGACGGGGCCGGATGAGCATTAGGGGGAGGTCGATTCTCCTTGTTTTCCATTCTTTGACGGCGTCGTCGTTCGAGTTCTTGTCGTTCTGGATCTTGTTCATGTCGATATTCCTCTAACTCCTTTCTCTCCTCCGTATTTAGAGTACTCACACGGGGTTTCTTGGATGGCGGTGTGATATCTACTTCCAATACCTGCGATGCCTTTCGAGCAGCGGGCTTTCGGTCATTGTCATCGATCGATACTCGACGGGTACCTCCATGTCCAAGAGCATTAAATACGGTGGACTTCATGGCCAATGTGGTTTCAGCGTAGTGCTTTTGCGTATCGATACTCTTGTGTCCCATGTGTCGAGCAACAGCATGTGGATCAACACCCAATCCCTTCATGATGGTACAAGCTTTGGCTCTCAGTGCATGACCGGAAGCTACTCTTTCCACGTTTTGGACCCCGATTCGGTCACAAAACTTCTGAATGATCTTGGAGTACTGATTATGACCAACATTTCCAGTATGCTGAGCGATGTCTGGATTGCTGGGTTTGTACCAAATGTCATACTCCTTCACCGGTCGCGAATTTTCGGGATGTTCTCTGTTCCAGTCAATGTCCCGTTGCCGGAGTCTGGCGTTCTCTATCTTTGACTCCTTTTCGGTGTATGGGTAGGCATAAAAACCTACTGCATCTGGATGCATGTGCTCTACGTACACATCATGCCACTTGACCGGATCATATTCTTTCCGATATGAGCGCATGGTCTTGATTCTATCGGGTTCCGGTGGAAGACTGGTGTTTCCAAACTCAAGCTGTTCTGTCTTGTTGAAGGGAAGAAAGAATCCCCGCCATGGTATTCTGGGAACATCCTCCTCACTGGCATCTTCAAGTTGATCAGAAGCCTCGTAGACTCCACTACGAAGAATGTCTTTTCGAGTATTCACATGATCTTGCTTTCCCCGGAAACACAAGAACAAACCGCCGTTGAGGTGAACTCCCTCAAAGACATGTTGTCGATCCTTGATGGAAATCACGCCATCTCTTACCGCTTTACAAACAAGTCCATAAACATCTTCATCGATCCTCTTCTTCTCACTATTGGTGCCAACCTTTGGGTCGATCTTCCTGTACTCGGCCCACCATTCCTTGACGACACCGTTGAATTGACCGGCTTCATTGAAGTCCTTGTCGAAGTCGAACATGATTCCTTTCTTTTTCAAGCGATTGAAGGTCCCTCGGAAGAATTGCTCCGTGGAGTTGGGCTGGAATGGTTGACCTTTCGTGTTGTTTCTACCTGATTTCTTCTTTAAGTTCAACGCCACGATTATGCACACGTCTTGGTTGAGTATGGCATGAGCCTTTTTGTCGCGTGTGTTACCAAGAACATTAAAGAACCGATAGTCCAAGGACTCTGCATCAGTGGCGTATCCATTGTATGCGACTGGAACCTTTACCAAGAGATCCTGAAAAGCATCCCCACTGCAATACACGGCTCTTAGCCTTATTCGCGACTCGATCCTAGATAGGGTTTGAGTTCGACTCATGACTGAGTCTTTCGTGAATAGTCATTTGAGACAGGGTTCTCAATGACCGCGCTAGTCATACTAGGTTGATGATGAAACATCGCTCTAGATATTTAGCCAACGTGGAGTACTTCCACGCTACTAGATCCAGACTAGACAAACCTTCCACGCGTTCCGTTTTAGGATCGTGGAAAGACGTAGGATTACTACCACAACCTACTCTATCACACTTTACAGTCTCCCGCGGGAAGCCAGATCTACGATCCCTTGATGATGATCTCTCTCGTTGATTAGTTTTCATAGCTTTCTAATCTCTCTCATAACTTTCATTCTCTCAAACTCAAAACACTCGAAAGATCTTTACACTAGCTTTTAGCGTAGTGCATTTTGTTAACAAACACAATAGCTTTCAGCTACCCTCAAGCTATTCCTTCACCATGAAGATGGCTCAAGGAAAGCATGCGTTCCGCAACTTCGAAAAACAGTTGCGTGACAAACCCATTCTTCTTCTCGTCGACAATGACGAAGAAAACGAGATCGACGATACTCGTACAACCACTTGCAAACTTCGCAACCATGTTGCCAAGCGCAAATCAGAAAACTCTGACAATGAGGACAACTCCTCTATCGATTTCAATCACTTGGATGGAGAAATCTCTATCTGAGGATTAGGCCAGGATGATGACTCAACGGAACCATGTTCCGATTTCTCATACCAAAGTGATGAAGATATCTCACTAACTAGTAAACAAGAATTGTTTGCAACTGATGAACTCTACGGCAAATTAGATGATTGCCTAGAAGCTGCTCAACTAGACTCTGATGATCTATTTAGCATCGTTAACCTCGTCCGTGGCCAACCACCTCGTAAACGTCGCAAGACAAGAGACCTCAAACCCATCGTCTATGTTAGATTTAACAAACGAGAAAAAGGGAAACCAAAACCCGTTACACTCCGTTGCTTACTGGATACAGGAGCATCCGGAACCTTGATTGCTCAACCTCATGCTAAGAAATTACGCATGAAGGATCTTGGGGGCGTCCAAACGATGTGGACTACCCCTGCAGGAGAATTAAACACCAGCACGAAGTGCAAAGGTGCATTTATGATTCCTGAATTCCACGAAGATAGAATTATCGAGTGGGATTTACACGTCACCAAGAGCTTGGGGGCGTATGACATGATCATAGGTCGAGACATTCTCTCTGATCTAGGATTCAAGTTCGATTTCACTACCATGTCAGTGGAATGGGACGGCGCATCTATTCCTATGAAAGATAGCGACACCAATGAAGAGGAGAACTTCTTCATTCCTGATCCTACCGCTGTTGATGACAGTGCAGATCGTCTCAAGAAGATTCTTGATGCGAAATACGAACAAGCTGACTTAAGGCAGGTTTGCCAAAGTCAAGATCAGTTAAACACGGAAGAGAAGGAACAGCTTCATTCCTTACTGACGAAGTACTCTGACCTATTCGATGGTACTTTAGGAAAGTGGCAGATGGACGACTACGAGTAGAACTTCTCCCTGATGCTAAACCCTATCATGCCAGGGCTTACCCTATTCCACGGTCCATACCAACACTCTAAAAAGGAGGTTGAACGTCTCTGCGAGGCAGGAGTACTCAAGAAAAAACCGTCCGAGTGGGCGGCACCAACTTTCATCATTCCCAAGAAAGACGGACTGTACGATTCATCTCTGATTTCGGGAACTGAACAAAAGGTTAAGCGGAAGCCTTATCCTATCCCAAAATACAGGACATGCTCTTGAACCTAGACGGATTCAAGTACGCTCATAGTCTAGACCTGAACATGGGGTACTATCACATCGAGCTGTCACTCACTCGAAGCAACTCTGTACCATCTACTCCCGTGGGGAAAGTCGATACCAGAGGTTGCCAATGGCCTATGTAATAGTCCCGACATCTTCCAAGAGAGATGGGAACATAATGCACGACCTAGAAACGTCCGTTCATACATTGAGATCACTCATCCTAACTAACGGCGATCTGCGATCAAGTTGAAAAGTTGGATGAAGTCTCCGAAGGCTTCGAGAAGCCGGACTTAAGATCAAGCTACCAAGTCCTTCTTCGCAAGAGGAGAACTTGAGTACCTAGGTTACTGGATTACTCGAGAAGGGATCCAACCTATAACCAAGAAAATAGACGCGATAAGAATAACGCTCCTCCTACCAACAGAAGGAACTCCGTAGATTCATGGACTAGTGAACTACTATCGAGACATGTGGATTAGACGATCACATGTACTGGCCCCACTGCTTCGTTGACTTCCAAAACAACGAAGTGGAAATGGGAAGCGGACACGACAAGGCCTTTAGCCAGATGAGAAGATCATCAGCAAAGAACCTTGCTCGCCTACCCTGACTTCAACGATACATTCGTTATCCACACGGATGCGAGTGATACTCAACTAGGTGCAGTAATTTCCCAGAAGGGAAAACCTATCGCGTTCTACAGTCAGGAAGCTCAACCCTGCTCAGACACGTTACACAGTTACCGAGAAGGAACTTCTCAGTATCGTAGAAACTCTAAAAGAGTTCCGCAACATTCTTCTAGGACAGAAGATCGTTGTACATACGGACCACAAGAATCTTACATGCAAGAACTTCAATACCGATCGCGTAATGCGATGACGCCTTATTCTGGAAGAATACGGCCCTGAACTAACGGTACATCAAGGGCGAACAGAACATCGTCGCGATGCGTTGTCGAGACTTAACATCTCCAACAACGACGGTTCTTCAGAACAGATGGACGCCAGTGAGATCGCTGAACTCATGGCTGCAGACGAAGAGGACTTCCCTAGCGATTCCCTCTCTCGTTCCCGAGATCGAACATCGTCAGAAAGACGACAACGATATCAAGAAGCTCCCGGACAACCAAACGACTACAAGAAGACAATCTTTCCCCAGAGGGGATAAGTCCTACGACTTAGTAGTTAAGGACGAGAAAATCGTGTACCTAAAACTATGCAGAAAAAGCTAGTTGAATGGACCATGGTGTGCTGATGCACCTGGCGAGATCGCACAGAACTACCATCAGCCAACACTACACCTGGAAGGGTCTGCGCAGACTGTGCAGGCCGTATGTCAGCGTTGCCAAAGCTGCCAGATGAACAAACCCAAGACGCGTAAGCTGGGATTGATGCCTCCAAAGACTTGCGAGGAGATCCCTTGGGAAAGACTATGTATTGACCTGATAGGCCTTACAACGTCGGGGATCCCAAGAAAAAGAATTCCTGCACACTTCATTGCTTGACAATGATTGATCCCGTAACCGGATGGTTCGAGATTGCAGAGATCTGCTCCAAGGCAGCAGACGAAGTAGCCATCGTCCTAGAACAACGTGGCTTACCCGGTATCCATGGCCTGCTGAGGTTATCATGGATAGAGGACGCGAGTTCCGCGCAGAGGTCGAAAAGACACTCCGGGATGAATATGGACTTCGTCGCAAGTTCATCACGACGCGTAACCCTCAAGCCAACTCTATGGTCGAGCGTGCTCATCAAACCATACGTAACTTGATCGCTGTTCAAAACATCAAGTGCCAAGACGACCTCGTGAATGGATCCTGGGATGGAGTCCTCACGGCGGTTCGCTTTGCAATGAATGCCACGATTCATACCACCTTGCGCGCAACGCCCGCACAGCTCGTGTTCAATCGTGACGCGATTCACAACGTCCGGTTCGAAGCCAACTGGAAGTACATTAAGGAACGTCGCCAACGACTAATCCAACAAAACAACGATAGGGAAAACGCAACGCGTGTCCCTCATCAATACAATGTCAACGATACTGTGATGATTCAACAGTATCAGCACCGCAAGTACGGTCAGCCCAAGTACAAAGGTCCTTACACTATAGACCGAGTCAATGACAATGGCACTGTACGGCTCCAACATGCTACCGCCAACGGCGGCACAGTCTACCAGACTTGGAACATAAGGTATATACACCCATACAAGGCCTGATCCCCTTGTAGGATTGCCATCGTGCGACGCACATGTCTACATCCAAATCTCATGAGAGTGCCCCGCACTTTAAATCATATGTTCTCCTTGTCCGACTGCTGTCGCGCCTTCTGTGACCCTTGTCAGGGGGCGAATGCAATACACGGCTCTTAGCCTTATTCGCGACTCGATCCTAGATAGGGTTTGAGTTCGACTCATGACTGAGTCTCTCGTGAATAGTCATTTGAGACAGGGTTCTCAATGACCGCGCTAGTCATACTAGGTTGATGATGAAACATCGCTCTAGATATTTAGCCAGCGTGGAGTACTTCCACGCGACTAGATCCAGGCTAGACAAACCTTCCACGCGTTCCGTTTTAGGATCGTGGAAAGACGTAGGATTACTACCACAACCTACTCTATCACACTTTACAGTCTCCCGCGGGATGTTGGAGGTTGTATTACAGACACCTCAATACAAATTATTCGTTTATCCCAATCTAGTTATAGGGGATATCTATATCTATTCGCTAGTTACATACATGGGGAGTTTAACTGACCTATATGGTCACCCCCTTCACTATATCCTTTGAAGTTGAATCAATCCCAGAAAACATGGAGAAAGATTACTTCTTGGAAATAGCTTAACAGTAAAACAGTATTTTACCTTTACTAAGCTAGAGTGTTACTAGCAACCAACACTATTTCC